CTGCGTTAATGAGTAATCTGAATATAGAAGGAAAGAGTTAATTGAGTTGACAACTCCGTTGTCATAAAAATCTTATAGAAACCAGCTTTTATAAATGCACACCTATTATTAAATGGATTAAAACTCAGTCTGTCTGTTTGAATTCGAGCATATTATACTGTGTATTGGTGTACGGCTTTAAAAATAAAATTATAAGTAGATCACAAGAAATCCTTGAAGGACGAAAGTCAAACGGCATATGAGATGCACTGGTGGATGTGTACTAACAGTCAAAGTTAATTATCAAAAGAAGACAGATATATTCTACTGGCTGAAAACCTGACTTAATCTTCTGATATATATATATATATATATATATATATATATATATATATATATATATATATATATATATATATATATATATATTAGTTCCGTTAGTCAATATAGGTTCTAGTTCATTTCGATTTCTTCACTTAGACAGGAAGATTATACACCAGTATTAAGCTGGAACAACTTCCCAGCACAACACGGTGCTCATGTATATTGGCAGAGGAATATGAAGGTTAAGCGTGTAATAAGATCGGTTGATTAAACTGTAGACAATTATAGACTAAGGTTTTTAGGATATGTGTTACTCACTCTCAGTAACTGTTTACGGTGTTAAGCAACGATGGCTAATATAAGAGTGGGTTGCAAAAATACTAGGAGCTACCAAATCAACATATAAAAATGAGTTATTGAATGTTATTTTGACGCTTGCTGGGAAGGCAAATCATCATAATTTGGGTCCGTTAAAACATTAGCAACTTATGGTTGGTGACTGTGAGTGTGGTGACAGAACATTCATTTTAGTGGTCTAATCAAACTTAGTTTATACTTTTCTCAAACTTTCGAACATAATATTGCTCTATGATTTTCAGTCCGACTATCATTTAGTTACCGTTAAATTTTCTCTCAGTATTTGTTTTTCGTTAATGTTGATCGTATCAACCAGAGCTCTTTCATACCGATTTTGTTAATTACTTCTCTTTGTACTACTATTTGAAGCAGAGGACCTAGAAAATTTCACAGTTTAGTGTCAGTTCTTTCATCGAATATGAACTACTGACACTATGAATTAATTTAGTTCATAGTTTTGTAGGCAGTTCCCACGATTACTCTTTATCTCCGTTAGGCAACATTAGTATTTTTCAATGAGGATAGAAATATGGACGTTATATATTACCCCCTGTTGATTCCATACTAAAGAAATACTTTTCAGCATAATTTCAGATATCTTTTTTTTTCTGATTTATTTTCGAATGATTTTCTTTGAATCTCACAAAAAGGAATAAATAGATTTCAAATTCTATCAATTGTATGAATTTTGTAACATAGACGTTACAAATATTTTCCAGAAACATTTGATCCAAAATTTAAAACGAATATCTATTAAACAATTTGATTTTTTTCCCTAACAACTCCAAATATAGCTTCAAAAGGTATGCTTTGATTATCATCTACAATATATATATAATTAACTATTAAATTTAATAATAATTGAGTAACAACCTAACGCTCAATGGTTAAATTATTTTTGTGCCCTTCAGTATCGAATTTCAAATACTCTTAGATAGTTTTATTAATTGTTATTCCAAACAATATCCAACTTGTGAGTATTTATTTCATGAATATAAATTGACTTTTTATCGGAAAACTATACTATTATCAATAACGATTCAATCAGAAAAATAATTCATTGTGATAGCATTTACATCCTCATATTTCTGTCAATTACTAACATTCTTTTTCAAAAGGAGTTATTAAGATTAATGTTTTCTGACCATTGCAATCACCAATCAATCATTGTTAGACCACAATTAGAAACCTGGGAGCACTGGACGGCCGTTTCCTCCTGGTATGGGACTCATTAGCAGAACGCATTCACGACCAGAGGTTAGGCGTTCGCGCTCAATACCGAAGGTCCCGAGATCGAATCCTGCAAGTTGCAGGAGTCGTGGATGCGCACTACTGATGAGTCCCATACCAGGACGAAACTGCCATCCAGTGCTCCCAGGTTTCTAATGGTGGTCTACCAATGATTGATTGATGATTTCAAAGTGCAAAAAATTATCATTAACTCAATATAAACATTTTGCAATTTTGACCGGAATGAATTGATCTAATAATATTTCTGTCACAATTTTGTAAACTTACCTTATAAATTCACTATTCCAAATTACAGACAGCCAAAATAAAATATGAACATCATGCATTCATGTCCAGATGAACATATTCACAAAAAGTTTACATATCATTTCATCTAAATGGAAGTAAACACTGTAAATAATAGTCATGTTGGGATATTCCAGTTTGAATAGTACACTGTATATTAGTGAGGATTTCAAAGTGAATAGTTCATTTCAGTTAGTCATCCTAACAAAATTTAGATCGCTGCTAAAAATACATTTCTTGAAGCGTTTTATTGGTCATGATTGAGTAATCATAAAAGTGTAGGAATAACTTTCAAAATACTTTGAATCTTGATGGCAAATAAAAATTCACATACTTGATTACTTTTAATTACTTTTACTTCCAATGAAAATAAGGTTTTTTTACTCGTGCGATTGGGAATTTCTCCCCATTTTGTATATAAACAACAAAGTCACAGTTCAGTATGTCTAGACATACAACACATCTAAGCCATGTGAATAAAAGTGCCCATCAGTTTGTTTTAATATTTACTTTCCAGGTTATCAACAAAGTTTTTCATTTTCCAAGTTATTGTAGACATCCAATGGAATACAAACATTGTTTGATATGCTATAAATTACTGAATTATAAAGTTGTTCAGTGTAATTTCACTCCCAAAACAACTTTTTTGAATTCAAGAAACAGGTCTAAGGTACAACTGAATATATATATATATATATATATATATATATATATATATATATATATATTTCTCCTTATTTACTTCAATCCAATTAATCTCAAATGTCAGTTTATCAGAGGAATTTAAAAACAGTTGTATCTTGCCTATTCACCTTACCTCTTATATAAAAGGAAGTAGTCTAAACTATGTGTTTGGATAATGAAAGAATGATACACGATATATTATCGAATGAAATCAAACAGTCGAAATTCGATCCAATCTATGTGTGGTTTTTAATATACTGTATAATAAAACTTCGAAATTACAATTCACAGCCAATAACATATTAAGATAAATTCGATAGAAGAAAAGGTAAAAAGTGATAAACCGTACTCTTACTATCTTATTCACAAACTTTTGTTATAATAATTTACAAAGATTTTCTAAGTGAATTATATTTACAGGGTTGACTGGTTCATCTACTCATTGTAGACTGTTTGGAATAAAGGTTATTAAGAAAATGGATTTTACAGCAACAGAGATGAATAAGCATACTTGAAGTGTAAACAAGTAATCAAATATCGACTATGCCTATCTTTAAAAATGAAGGCTTGTAGGGAAATAGTCTCGTTCACCTAATGTTCTCAGGAGCATCAAAGGTGGATTGACAAGCGGATCAATATTCTACATACTTTATTATATCAAAGTGAAATTGAAGTGAATTAATGTTTTGAATGCCAATCACTTCGGTCACTTAATATATTATTCATTTCAGTAAATCCAACTATAATTAAATCAAAACATTTACTTTGAAATATTATGATAAGAAATATTTTTTGATTAAAATAGATTTACTCTATAGAACTATTCACTTTCGTATTAGAATTCTATTCTATGAGGCTTTACATTTAAATTTGGGACAAAGTTCTGATTGAAGTAGTCACGACTTTGTATTCAAATAACAATTATCAATAGTTTTGTAGTTACAGTTTGGAACAGTTCCCTACTTTCAAACAGCGAGCTAAATAAATAAGTTCGGCTGATAAACTTTTGCTGGACTCGAATTCACTGGAACCTAGATTATTTATAATGTTGTTCATTCAACACAACAGAAGGCAATGTCTCTATTATTCTGTTATTCTCAAGAATATAGTGAAATTTATCACATTTTCGGGCTTACCACTTGTGATGTAATAATATTGTTGATTAGAAAAAGGCGTAACAACTTCCGCTTACCTACAAATCCCTTAAATAAGGCAGTGGAAACCGAAGTCTGTAAATATTCTAATCACATTCAAAAATTCTAAGTAAGCACAGCAGATGAGACCAATGACTTCACTTGCATTCAGTAATCAGAGTGAAAAGAAATTTACTACTGTCTATAAAAAGAGTTACTCAGGACTGAAATGATACATTTTCACACAGAATTTACTCATCATCCGGTCTTTTTAAACAAATCATATTCTCTAAAGCATAAAACACTTGGACTCTCATCCACTAGATTCAGTAAGCTTACTATAGTTAAAAATACTCAAAAATGTTACATTTCCTACAACATTTCCACCATATTTTATACTTCATAATTCTATGACATAATAACCACATGTGTAAATTCAAAAACCAGATGTTTAGAAAACAAACAAATATATAATATATTAGGTTTTTACAGAATGATGTCTTCACAACATGAATTAAACTTATACACATAACATAAAATAGCTAGTCGGAAAAAAATGGGAGAATTCCTTATAAGATGAAATTTCGTTTGACAAAGTGGTTGAACGGTGAACAATGCTGACAAGGTGAAGAGATAGTAAACTACCATTAAGAATGGCAGTGATTGTGACATAATTTGAACATTCATAATTAATTTAGTATTTTTATATAAGAGAGTAAATCTCTCAACAGTTAATCAACAGATTTAGATTATCCTACTGTAGAATCAGACGTAGATACAACCTTTGTATTCGCTCGACTTGATGATGACATACTTTTGGATTCATTAGACCTTGAGTTTGAACGCCTACTAATAAAATTGCTAGACCAATTTGAAAATAATTTTTTAGTTGTGGAGTTCATCAAAGTTACAATCCCCAAAGCTGCACCTTGCCCACTACTAACCAGCGCTGCAATACGACTCAGAATAGTTTGCTGAGGTAGGAGACTAGCCAGTAGTTGGAATATCCATACAGCACCCAATGTGATTGATAGATGTAAGCAAATCCTTGCCACAGTTGCGATTATTTTTATTCGGTAGCTGAGTAGATTTAGAATCCACACTACTCACCGATTCGTCTTTCAGTGGTTTTAGTGTTTTGTTCTGATCTAACAACCATATATACATACCAACCAGTAGTAGTATAGTGGAGTTCAGTACCAACAATGATGTAGTAGGTACCAAAAACCACATAACGAAAGCTGCATAAACTGTAAACCATGGCCGCTTTCGATACTTCAGTGAACAAAAGCCTGGACTGAAGACCGCCATTGGGCTCGAAGTTTCTGAGCAGTTGACTCTCTGCTCCGTACTAACAAGATTTATTTCATGTGTATAATGATCACCCTCCACCTCCTGGTGACAAGAATTAGAATGGTAAACTTGATTGAGAACCAGTGCAGGTATCACGAAACATAGTGGTAAAGTGGTTGCAAATATCGTTGAAAATATGGTACGCCTTTGAATAAAGATCGATTGATCTCTCAGATTCTTTCGAATTACCATACTCTGCAAATGAGAGAACAGAACAAGCGTCAAAACAGAATATAATGAATGACAACAAGATTTAACGCCTAACAAAGCCACAACTACTTTTTCATCATTCAGATGCATATACTCAGTACTCAGTTCATTATAAAGCGTTCAATTTTTACCAATCAAGTATTCATCGTATTCATCACGTAAATTGGAAACGAATAGCAATCGTAATTCGACTAGCGTTCTCAACTGGTAAATTTTTTTTTTTAAAAAACCTATACTAATGCATTCTGCACACCGATTCTATAATCTAAATATTAAATCAAATCAATAAATAAATAGTGAGCTTGAAGGCTAAACACACAAACCAGAAGTCATTAACATAAAAAACTAATAAAAAAAAATTAAATTCTGCATATTTTCGGTATAGCTTATGCTTTTCAAATGGATGGTTTGATTGTGGAACTTTCTTCTGGACAACAAAGATCATTGGAACAAACTTCAGGTAAAACTTTTGTGCTGATGATGTTGTTCAGAAAAACAATGAATGATTCCCGATTAATCCATCTAGTTCAGAGAAAGAGACTTCAAGCAAATCATCCATCTGAACTATAAATCTTCTTCACCATCTCAACCTTTTGAATGGTCAGTGTGAGTCTACTAGACAATGATATTACTCTATACTGTGCACAAGATTTACGGTAAAATAAGTTAGTGTTAATGATGAGATTATGAAGATCTAGGTTATGTAATCCATCTTATAAACATTTACACCATTAATTGACTATATTAAATATTACCTACACAGTATGAGAGCGAAAGTGCAACAACTTGTACAGAAAACTGGAAAAAGAATACACTGTCTTACTGAGATTATAAAGCACACGTAAATAATACAGATTATCGTTTCTGCCCACTTCACATCAAATCACATAACATCAAAAAAGAAGTATCTCACTTACTATCCACTTACTTTCATGGTGTTTGAGTATTTTTTGCTCAGCGAATCTTGGTCTACTGTTTGTCGAGTTATTTTAAACTTCAAGTATGCTAAGCACATTCGACAAGTTTGAATTCCTCCAAACGTGTTCATCAAACTCAGACCAAGTGTTGACATCCATGCAAAAGTTGCAAGGAAAAAGTAATGCAATAAAACTGCCACTGTAAGACAAGTTTCATCACCTGAATTGTCTCGTCGATCACTTAACAATGGCAAAAGTAAATAAATCAATAACAAACCAAGCATGGAAATCGCCAGCCCCATCAATAACTGATTAGAAACTCGACGTCGAAATTCTCGCGTCTTCCCGTATACAATCAGCAATACACACAAACTGAATGCAGACAGAATGCATATTAATAACTGAAGTATATCTAAAACAGACTCAATTGCTCGAAGAGTTTTACTCCTCTTCATCAAACCATCACTGTCAAAAGCATCGATATCAATGTAGTTTTGTGGTAAAACTAGGAATTCATGCCACTTGAATTCGCTCAAACTGAACACTTCTTGTGTACTTTGTGGTTTGAGAAATCTTCTATTTTCACATGAACGTCTCCAACTCCTTGGTAGCTGTGAATTTGCCACACACAATCTATCCGTGTCATGAAATGTTCGACAATGCACAAATACGCTGTATAAATCAAGACGTTGTGCTATGATATTTCCAGTATGTTCCCCACCTGTGACAGTCGAACTTAACTCATGATGACAAACAGCACAGTCAAAATTAGCATAAACTCGTCCACTGGCTTTCGAAATAACTGGTGCCATCAATCGAATATCTTCAGCCCGTATACGAAACATTAGGAAGGCTAATTCCAGTGATATAAAATGTCTCTCATTACTACTAGTGTTTTCAGTGTGCTTTAGTGTAACATCATCAAAATTGATATGCAAATCTCTTGATTTATTGCAGCGCATCGCAATCTCACTTGGTGTGCCCGGTGGACAGTGCGCAACAGCTTGAAACCAACTACCATGTTTCTCCAGATCAGCAACATCTGAAAATGTTCTAGCTGAATGAATGCAGTCAGATTTAGGTATCATCGAAAAATCTACTGGTTTGGTATCCTGACGAAAATCTTTATAATCATCACAACAGTCCGATTTCATTGCACATATTTCGTCGCAAAAGCAATCACCGAACGAAGATGTACAAGTTTGAGGACTAGGAGTGATAGATTGCGATTCGAATGTACTGATCAGCGACTCATGTTCTCCATTTAAATTGTCAAACAGTAGCAATAGTAACAGTATTAATATTAATTGAAGCTGCAAAGTAAATGACGTTAATTGTTTCCTCATTGAAAGTCAAAACCAAACGCTTTAGTTACATTGTTCTAATTTTCTCATAAACAACTGATCAAAAATGTTACTTTATCTGTGCATAGAATTATAATTATACATGTACGTATATATTTTTGGACGAAGAAACTAGCTAAAACAATTCACTACTATCTTCCTTAGAAGATTAATGATTCATTTTATACCTGCGAATAGCCGATAATATTTAAGTTTACATAAATTAATAGATGGAAAATTAACGTGATTGGATTTTGCAAAACAAATAGCTGATTGGTGGATTTCCAATTTTGTTAAAATATAGCTCAGTAGGTTGGATTATTTAGCGCACGACATAATGTTTTTTATTTGTGTATCAAGTGTATTTATGTATCTAAAATGATAATTGAGACCAGCATGATTTCAGACTCTTATTTTGTTTTAACAAATGAGTACACTTTGTAGTACTTGTAATCGACTAACTATTCAGTCCCTTAATATATTTGGTAAATTCTGATCCGCGATATACAAACCCATTATTGTCACCATGGGTAATATATTCAACGTTAAGAGAGTATTCTCAGGAGTACCGCCTTCCTCAAAAAGCATGCATATCATAAGCAAACATTATTTAGATAGTGAACTCTCAAATTATGATAGCATAGCAGTAAACTTCGACAAAAAACATTTATTGCTAATTGAAACAATCAATCAATCATTGTTAGACCACCATTAGAAACCTGCAAGCACTGGACGGCAGTTTCGTCCTGATACAGGACTCATCAGCAGTGCACATCCACGACTCCTGCACCTCATAGGATTCGAACCGAGGACCTTCGGTCTTGCATGCGAATGCCTAACCTCTGGGCCACTGGGTGGGCACCCAACGGTGTCAATGTCTAACTCTTGTAATTCCCTATGAAATTAAGACATGTTATTATTATTGTCTCCGTTGAAAAATATTCCTTTTATCTTAAAACAAATAAAGTGTATTGCCTAGAAGAACTTTTAAAGATGGAGAAGTTAAAATTTATGGAAAAAATTCCTCTAATAATTATTTTGTATCACTATTTACTACTGTGGCATTACTATATGGATGGAAATATCTGTGTAGAAAACAACCGGAGTAAGCAGTATCCGATGTTTTGATAACTAACTATCTAGTTTGAACAAGACTGCTAATACCCACGCACTTCATAGCTTATGAATAAATAAACTGTTAAGGTGACTGGCCTAGTAGTTTTCAGTCTATGTTTTTGGTACTTTAACAAATTTAGCATGGAGTTCAACAGAATTCACGTTCTCACAGAAGCTATCAATTAAATGTTCAGTATTATTTAAGGGTATAAAATAACCTAGGCGTAGAAAATTATTGCCATTCATAAAGGCTGATTTATTTTATGAACATTTACATATGTAACATTTGACTTTATAAACTAAATTTAGAATATATGATTAATTAATAACACAGATCCAAACCATAGCAAAACTTTAGGCAAATTTAATAATTACCTAGTAAATTTACACATTGTAAAAGTCGATACTTAAGTTTTCAAGCTGACTGAACAATAAGGACAAAATACAATTATAAAGCAAGCAATGACTGTATCGTCATCAATAATATGAGCTATTTTTGGATAGTTTTATTCGTCATATCAAAACTAATTACGTAAGGTGTACCCAGCATGAACGAATGCTTGGCACACCGTACAAAATAAATGCTTAAGTTAACTAACTAACTAAATAATTTTCAACAACTACATAAATATCACTTTTATAGTGTTAGTAGTTATTTTAATTTCACTTAAAAACTACGAGTTATTTCAACATAGAACAATCTATACAAACATCGTAATATTGGTTATTCTCTAATGATTAGTATCCTACGTAATCGTTATATAAAAGATATCAAAGGATAACTGTGAAGATTTTGTTTTAGTCGGCAGTTGAATCAATACACGAAGTTTGGCGACAGTTATATGGAATAGAAATAGGATTGGTAATAAATAGTAAGTATAAAGTTTTAATCAAAAGTGTGTTCACATTCCAATGGGGTTTATGGATTCGAAGGGAATCGACTGTTTTCTTTCTATGCGACAACAGTTATAATTTATCTAAGTGTGAGATGTCCTTTGAAGCTTACCTGTAACATAGAGAATATGATCAAATTATATTCGATGTTTAATTTTTCAAGTATTACTTTCCGACTAGTAGAGTAACCAAATAGAAACAAAAGATTTTCCAGATAAAATATTCAGAAACTATTGCCCATTCAGATATCTAACAGTTGACTTCAAAGAAATATATATTCTTTTTAGGTTCTGAACGCTTTGATTTTAACTACTGATTATAATAGCGTGAAAATTTACCGAATATCTCCGAAAAGGCATGACTTAGCTGAAATGTCAGTTATTTTTAAGTTTTAATATTTTGCGTTTAATACTTTGCTTAGCATACCGTCGAATTTCTTAAGATATCTTTTCAATTACCTTATAGATTGGTAAATTTTTCAAATAAATCCGCTTAACCTAACAATTTATCGTCTCCAATTTGAATCCAGTAATATTGTAAAACAAATCAGTGTGATTTGTTTGTATGTTTCACTTGTCCGATTAAGAGTATCAAAAGTTCTGCTTCGATTACAACTGTTTTAGTTTTGAAATCTCAAAAAGAAAATGGATGACATAAAATAGTACACTCAATAATTTCCTGACAAGTTTGTGACAAGAACCGACCAAAAAAATATTTAACATTCGTTATTTACTTTTTAAATATGATTAAAAAATTATAAACAATACCCCGCTTTGTATATGTAGTTTCCTTGATTAATTTGAAAAAGAGGCAAATAAAGACTTGAGCAGAACCATGTGAATACGTCGTATTGCATTAGTTGTAATCAGTGGATAAGAAACCTCAGATCTAGATTTCTTGCCTTGCTGCACTTAACAGTAAGGGATATCAGTAATTTGGAGGAAACTGAGTCTTCTTGGAGGATCCTATCCAGTGCCACCCAGCTCCACAATCAAATTCGTTACCATTGAGCTAACGGGCCTGGAATAACCTCTTGTAGGTATGAGAAGTATTTAGAACTGATTGATCACTGGGCAATGGCCAATGTTATGTATATTAAGTAATTCTTAATGTCGATCGGATTCTATCGATCAAGTTACAATCTAACCACTAGTCTAGGTGACTCGATACGTTGGGGTGTTTCTGGTGAAATTAGTAGATGATAATTTCTACTTATAACTAATAAACCTTAAGTACCAGTAGTTTATCCAATAAGGTTTAGTTACCACACCCATAATTATTGTCTCAAAACAAAACAGAAAAGCAGTGAAAACAATAATGGAGTAGAAAGTTGTTTTACTCCAACTTGCTTATCGTCAGAAATGGGCACTGACGAATTAACACATATTTGAAACGTTTAAATCTTCTTTAAATGGATAAGTTATTGAAATGCAATCGGTTTTAAGATTCTTTTCTTGAATACCGAGATGAAATAATGAATTATTACTCCTGAAGTGAATAATCAAATAAAAAACACTGTTGTGATCAAAATCATTTAAAATAGAATTCAGCATTTAGATATAGATCTTGTTGAATGACGCGATCCAACAAAGGATTCGGAATTTCGACAAATCATACACAGGACAATGAAATAAACTAACACCCGCATAGAAACCTTATTTGGTACCACACGTTTGACTTATTCACATAATAATTTTTATTTCTCTATGAAGTAAAGTTAGATCTAGTTATGTAAATCACACTTTACACACAAAACATAATTGCTCAAAATGATTAACTTGATAGAAATTTTATAAACATATTCAAGTTGATTCTTTTCAATTGTTTGATCAATTTAAACGTAATTTCATGATTAAACTACAGAAAATTATGACGTTCAGTGCAGATAAACTTAAGACGTTATCTTAACTTACTTCACTAAAGATCTTTTATGTTCTCACACCCTAAAATTGGGATTCAAATCATAAAATTACCTGGGTAACATTGGGGAAAAAAGTAAAATCAACAATTCTAATAGAAAAAATAAATATAAAAAAATTTAGTTAGATACACGTTAAAATTAATCAGGAATATCTTCTCTTAAGTATAGGTTTTATTGCAGTAACAAAGTAAATAAACGCATGAACTGCAAACCTATTTAGTTTACATGCTGTCATGGGATTCGAAATCATTAAATGCTCATTTCCAATTCCATTATGGTCACTAACTAGTAATTCCCCTTCAATTCCACTTAACTCATTATCAGGTATTCAAACACTTTTAGTAAGCCTCCTGAGAGTTGCTGCTATCATCTCCCACCTTACTGTTAATCCGTTAAGACAATCAATTCAATTCAATTATACACGGATTAACTAATTCACATGCACATTTCAAATGCTATTCAGGTCATCAACTTCATCAACCTTATGAAATTGTATGGAATAGTCATTATTCAAATGTGTTTTTAGTGTGCAATGCATTCATTCAATATTTGATTGACATAAATTGGACATTGAAAATATTCTGGAATTCAGTTTCTATTTCAAAATATGCAGTTTGCTGCAATTATTTCAAATTCATATTATTTGCCCGTAAATTTTTTGCCCTGTGTTAGAAACTTTTTTTTTTTAAATTCTTGAAGTAAAACACATAATATAATATTACTGTTTCGGTGATGTTTTTTAGGCAAATCACATACTGGTTATGAATTGTTTAAAAAATTATGAACACTACCTTTTTTCTATTGCCATTTGTTATTTGTTATTACATGTTATGCATCCCCTACATACTTGTACATCGTTGTGAAATATTTTCATTTTCTAGTATTTAAAGATATTACGTATTTTCTGCCACGCTAATCAGTGAAACAGTTGTGCATTAAAAATCTAATCGTTTAGCATCAACCATATGCTTTGTGCTATTTGTCAATGGAATTACTCATCGATTAATTTTCTAATTAAGCATTGATTATGGTAGATCATTATGACTAAGATTTATTTAATCTCTCATATGCTCTTGAAAAAACTTAAAATCTCAGTTCAAAAAACTGAAGTTATTTTTTCCAATGACCTTATGAAGGAACTCAAAACCATTCATGAAGACAACACAGGGTTCTGGAGATAGCTGAGTTTCATCAAAATCATGAACTGACCAACGTCACACCACGATTGGAAACCTAGAGGCACTTAA